TAACCAGCAGGTATTTAATCACGCGTTCTTTCGAACGGAATATGTCAAAGGTCAAGTTTAAAATGAGTTGGTAATCCATGCGTACATAAACACAAAATATTCAAACCTCCTTGATACTTCCCTTTTGTGGGTGGCCCACTTGGAGTCGAGTCGTAGTGTGTTTTACTTTTACGAATCGGTCTATTTAGGATTTTTTTTTTAAAGATATTGATTGATTCATTTTTTCACGGCTTATCAACCCTTTGCAGATTATTTCAAGACAGAAAATATTTTTACATTGTAAGAATATTTTTTAGATAATATTGGTTTAGTGATACAAGTTTAACAAATTAACCAATAACTGGGAGGAGAGGTGGGTTTATAACTTTTCTAGTGGTATTTGTGCGTAAGTGAATATAATGAACCCAACGGAAATTGAACTCGGATCTCTGATTAACAATTCAGAGCCATTACCCATTACATCACCCGCACATCCAAGCTTACACTGCCTGGTATTCCCAAGCAATCACTCATTTAGGTAATGACCAGGATCGACGCTGCTTAACTTCGGTGATCGTCCGGGAATCGGTGTTTCAAAGTTATGTGGCCATAAACCTTTTTTAAGAGAAAGATAAGGCAATGGGGGTAGATAGGCTCATCTATCGTCCGGTCCGTACTCCTTCCATGTCTATTGAACAGGAGTAGAGGTCCATCCCTTGTTCCCTGCTTAGAATATGGTTTATCGGTTATTTTCTCTCTCTTACCAGGTCCAAAATGATTTAACTCTCTTAACTCTTCAGTAATCAGACGAACCAGTGGCTGTGACTTTCCATTTTGAGGGTCCGGGTTGGCAGTTTGTTGGCTGTTGCTTCCGACTGGTTATTAGGAGCCCGATCAACATAATATTGGGGTATCTGTAGTGCCATGGGTGGGTGTCTCTGCATTTATTTCCGGTGGGCAACATTATGCTCTGATCTCAGCCATGCACTGACTGGTTTGTATTGCCATTGACGACAGATAATTATGGTGGTCTTTTCCTCCCTCCTCAAAACATTGGAAATCACAACAAAAAGAAATAAAACTAAACCAGCTAAAAAAAAAAAAAAAAAAACCTAAAAAATAAAATAAAACCTACCCCTTTCAATTTTTTTTATTCAATATTCGCGGCACCCGTTTCAACTTCTGCAGCGTATAATCATTTTTCCTGGAAGGGTCACCAGATATCTTTACCCTTTGTGAAACCAAGTTAAATTCTTTCATTGCGACCAATGAATTCTTGGTTCCAGGATATCTTTCTCTTTGCCGAAAAGGTTCTAGCATTCACATGCATGGCCTTAGTGTTTATATCCGGGACAATCTGCCGATGGCCAGAGAATTATCTCTCGAGATAACTGATTACTCTTTCATGTGCTTCCATCTTTTGCTACGAAACTCTGTCAGCTATCTCTTTTTCCTTTATTGCCCCCTCTTTCCAAGATTGCAGTATATTAAATGCAATAGCTGACAGTACAAAAAAGGCACTTTCTCTCCGTCCGTCTGCGAACATCTTTGCCTTCGGTGACTTTAATGCTCACCACGACACATGGCTGAAACATTCCAAAAGTACTGATGTTACCAGTATACAGACATTAAATATTTCCACTACCCAATACCTCGCTCAAATCGTAGACTTCCCTACTCGTTTCCCTTGCCAAAGCGAGCAACAGGCTTCTCTATCGGACCTATTTCTTACCTCCTATCTTTGCTCTTGCCGAACTTCGCAATACTGCCCTCTAGGTAACTCCGACCAATCTGTGGTATCTATTTATATCTACTTCCAAGCATCCATTGAACAGGAACCCCCTATCCATGTCCTCTTTCCGGTACCAGAATGTTGATTGGAACTCATTCCGGGATTTTCTTTGTGACGCCCCTTAGACTAACATCTTCAACCTCCCAAATGAAAATTACGCAACTGTGGTTTCTTCTTGGGTCAAAGCCGGCATCCCTTTTCAGAAATACTAGATGAAACCGTAATCCTCTCCACAGTTCACACCAGCATGCTTGGCCGTCATAATACACAGGAACCACTATTTCCGGATATACCAGCGTGACAGCTCTAGTCATAACAGGATTCTATTTGCTACTGCCCGTAACAAATGTAAGAGAGTCCTCGAAGGAGCTAAGTCCCTGTTTGCTGAAAGAATGAGGCACCGCATAGCCTCTAAAAACTTTGGCTCTCGTGATTACTGGCGGCTCTGTAATCGAGTATTAAATAAATACAAGGTCTCTATTCTCCTCTCTTCAGTTGATTTGAGGTGTTAACATTATCTACTGATAAAGCTGAATGCTTTGCCTGTAAATTTTCCTCAAACTCTACTCTTGACTCATCCGGAGTATCCCTGACTAACTCCCCACTTAGAATTGATTCTCTGTTGAGTGATATGTATATAACCCTTTCCATGGTTTCTGCTATTATTTCTAACCTGGATCCCCACAAAGCATGGTATCCTTGTAATAGTAATTAAGAAATGTGCTCCCGAACTGGCTCCTGTTCTCTCTAAACTATATAATAAAATGCCTCGCTGCCTCCTGCTTTTCTGCATGATGGAAGTCATAATCTGTTCCAGTTTTTAAGCATGGCGAACCATCTGACCCATTCAACTATCGGTCCATTAGCCTTCTATCACTTTTTGGAGAACTCCTAGAGGTCCTGATCAATGCTGAATTGGTACATCATCTGTTATTGCAGGGCTTTTTCTCAGACAAGCAATATGGCTTTCGTTTCTCCAGATCAACTGCTAATGTGCTAACGATAATAGCGAAAAGAGTCTACCGTGCTCTCGATAAAAACAGTGAAACCCGGGTTGTTGTATTGGACATCTCGAAAGCTTTTGATAGGGTCTGGCATTCAGAACTTCTACACAACCTGAAAAGTTACGATATCTCCGGGCACATTTTTGAGTTGACCCAGTCGTTCCTATCAAATCCTGAAATGAAAGCCGCTCGTCTACATTCTTTCGTACTAACACGGGCGTCTTCCAGGGCTCAATCCTTGGTCCTACGCTGTTTTTAATCCCCATTAACGACCCTCCCGATGACATCAGTTCTCAACTTGGCATCTACACTGATGACACAACCATTTACTCCTGCCTCGATAGTAAGGCTGATCAGTCCGAAAAGGTCAAAATGGCAGCCGATGACCAAAACGACCTCAAAGCTGTTGTTAACTGGGGCAAAAGATGGCTTGTTAGTTTTAACGCCCCCAAAACTAAATTTCTCTTCACTAATCATCTTTCTGCTTTCCATCTGCATGCTATCCTCCAGGAAAGTGACTCGTTGCGCCTTTTCGAACTAAGGTTCTCAATTGACACGAAGTAGAAAGACTATATTGAATCCATTGCTAGGTCAGTTGCTAAGAAAATCGATTCACTGTGCCGGGTGAGACAATTTTACTCTGCGGAATCTATCTTGCATATCTATATCTGTCATTCATCTATGCTTAGAATATTGCTGCCATATATATTTCAATGCCCCTGTTATACACCTAGACATTCTTGATAAAATCCAAAGACGAATCAGCAATATTATTGGTCCTGATCTGGCGGCACGGCTTCAGTCACTTGCCCACCGCCGAAAGTTTGCTTCTCTGTGCCTTTTTTAAAAATACCTTCATGGCAATTGTTCGGATGTTGTTGTTTTATCCCCCCCCCGCCCCAGACAAGTATTGTACACATGTGGACTCGTTAGGAATTTATGGAGATTCTGAGCTATTATGGTGGATGTAGTAAAAGTGGTAAGTAAGAATGCAATATTTTGCTGTAAGGAATATTGTGGTATGTTTGGGTCAGTTTTTGTGCCTAGTTAAGTTTAATATTAAGACAGAAGAAGCCCATCCTTTTTGCCCATTCCCCATTTTTCGCCTACAAAATAAATATCGCTCTTCGCTATGGTACCTAGACTGTATGAATTTAAGCGCAATACTAGACTGGCGGCGAGATCTCATCAATTTACATCTTTTACATCTTCCGGATTCATACTTTTCAGCCAACTTTAATCTGCAGAAATTTAAATGCAATGTCAATCGCTATCTACTGTCCTTCTGATAGCTCTTCTCTCTTTCTACTCATTACTAATGTTTCTGTTCCTATTTCATCCACATCCTGTAACCCCTTCTTTGTTAGTGGCTGTACTGCCTTGCTTGGGGTGATACCAATTAAAAAAAAAAGAAATAGTTTGAAGAAGGCTTCTGTTTCTTGATGGGCGTTTATTGGATGCGGAGATGAAGAGGACGAAAAGTTGAAGTGCTACGCTCTCACTGTTCTCATGGCAGAAAATGTTCAGGCAAACAACATTCCTTAGTTGCACCAGTCCAAGCAGCTCGAACCCGCCAAGCCACAACCACAGGGTCGACTCGTCATTATTCCCTCCGTATACCATTGGTAAGGAGGAAATTTCATCCAGACAGCTTGTTCTTCTTCAGAATTCTTACTTTGTAAAACAGACTCCCGAGAGGATGCTCCCTCAATCATTATGATTTTAATCTCTTCGCGTCTAGGGTCAACCATTGTCTATCCTACATATCCTTACACGCACTTCTTACTTCCTCCTTTTACGTCCTTACAACAACCTCATTTAGCAATCTACATTGACTGGCTCTTGGGCCTTGTATTAGATGATCAATACAATAAAAAAACAGAAAGTCCTAAAGAAGTAAAATACGCACGCATTCAATGAAGCCGTCTCTACTTGGGTATAATATTATATTTAGGGATGTGGAAATACAATGGAAATTTAAGAGAAAAATTCAGTTCTAAACAAAATATCAGGCTACGGATATATTGATCCAACCTATGGAAATAGGGTATACTTTTATGTCTAAATTTCTTAAGATCAACATTTTTGAGCACAGATAACGCATAAGAAATAACGTTTTATTTCGAAAGTGTAACCAATCCTGAAGGGCCACGGCACATAGAAGTAGAACCAATCCTTGTTTCGTAAGAATTTTCTATTTAACCGTGATTTGTTTCTTTTTCCAGCACCAGTGAAAAGTTTGGAGGAGGATGGAGTCCGTGATGAAAATGCAGACGTTAGTTTATTGCTGAATTCATTGACCGGTCGTTTCCGCCCTCCGGCCAAACGCCAATTCTGTCCGCCTGGATATTTTTATAATCCGGTGTCTACATCTTGCATGGCTTCTTTGTCAGTGAGTATGAATCGGAAAATCGTGACTAGATTCCTATTATCTTTGTTCATCAGTCTTTCAGACATTTTTCTTTATCTTTCTCCTTTCGTTCATTTTGATTCGTTTTCAATTTTTTCTTTCTCTTTTCTTTCATTACGTTTCCTTTTTTCTTTGTCCTTTTTTCATTTTTATTCGTTTTTCTTTATTCTTTCATTCATTTTTCGTTTCCTTTTTTTCTTTTTCTTTCTCATTTCTTTCATTTTTATTTGTTCTTCTTATTCTTTCACCTTTTATTCGTTTTCCTTTGTGCTTTTTTCATTTTCTTTACTTTTTCTTTTTTTCCCTCTCCTTTCCTTCCTTCCTTCCTTCCTTCCTTCCTTCCTTCCTTCCTTCCTTCCTTCACTCTCTACCTCTCTCCATCCATCCATCCATCCATCCATCCATCCATCCACATGTCTTTATTCATTGTCTTAACGCCATTCCACACTATCTTATCTCCCGGAAAGTTAATTTTATTTTTACTTCAGCAATCTCAATGTCAAATTCAAATCGAGTTTCAATATCTACCACTGACTCTCTCTCCTCAAAAATTAAACTTGAAATTTGTCTACATTCTACATGCGATAACATATATGAATAAATCAGAATAACATTTTCCTATATCATGTATTTACATACAAGCATACTACTCGTAATTGATGGGATTATTTACAAATGAACCGTTACGTCAGTGTATCTGTGCGTTCTGCCACGGATTAAAATCTCACTACCCGGCCCTTTGCCTAAGATCGGCGTAGTATCTGTTCTCTCTTTTTAATTTACCATTTCCAAGTTAATTTTACCTGTTCAACAAGCGGCAGAAAGTTGATGTAGTGGAATTTATCTCTTATTTACATCCAGGATTTACTTGTTGATTTTTGTATATTCATTTATTTTATAAACGTGATAAACTTTTATGGCTAGAGAAATAAAAGAACATCCTTTCGTTATTATGTATGATTTTTGTACAGATTGCAAAGTGTTGATAGTGTTGAATGAACACTACATACATAATATAGAACGGGTGGCGTGGCTGAAGCAGCAGCCGCATGTGAAAACCACAAATACAGAAATCAAATTGGTAAAATTTGTTCTCTGCGGAAAGGTAGATAGACATTTCAAGCAAATACAACCTCAATTTCTAACTACTCACAGACTTTCCCGCTTCTTTTTGGTAACTTAGAAAATCAGCCTATGTGATTCAGTGAGGCGGGAGATTTTTTTTTTTAAAATTTAAGCTGCACGTCGTCATCAAAGGCTCCCGTTTCTGCATGTGTACCTCCCGCCCGACCGGGATAACATTTTCACCATTAACACAGTGACTGCCGACAACGAGTTAACTCGTGGTTGGCAGGTTTTATTTGATGCCGTCTTCTCGTGTTTAATATATCCTCATACACTTTCATCTGCAGGCGGAATACGAGTTTATTCGCAGCGATGCTTTTCGTGTGAAAACAATGTTAAGAATTCAATTGAAGTTATAAATCAACCCATAAAAATGTTTTATTGCCCAAATTGGCTATTATAAAGCTGGTGTTTGAAGTCTGATTTCGTAATTGACCTCTGGCAGTCAGCGAGTTAAAGTCGGTTGTTTGATTATTGATTTACTTGTTCTGTCTCGTACCAAAGTTTAACTTTAAAATACATTGACCTCTACAAAAGATATGTAAAAATAAATTTATTTGTTTAATAAGACATTGAAATTGCAACGCCTTTTCCAAGATAAAATTTATCGCTTAATCGACCAGCATTTTAATGTGAATACATTATAAAAGAAAATCTTATAAACATACTTTCTTTTTCAGATTCTCCGTCAGAGGACTGGTTATTAAGGAAAAATGTCTATTGATCATTAGAATAGTTCAGACAACAATCAATGATGACATGATTTCCTGGTTACATACGATTCCAATTCCATTATCAGACAATTTTTTTTTCTTTTAATTTACACTTTTTAAATTTCGAATTTATCATGTAGATGTTTTCAATAAAATTATCACAATCAATATATATTTAATGTTTCAGAATTTCTTTTAATTAATCAGTTCAAGTGAAACCATCAATATCACCTTTATTTTAAATTTTGAAAATGTTTGAAAATAAACAAAATAAAAATGAAAGAAACCTATTTTTCATCAACGTTTCGGTTGTTCTGTTCTACTGCTTTCCTCGACTGGCTGTTGTATTTTGCCATTGGTATGTCAAAAACTTGATAAGAGAATGGGCGAGTTCGACATTTTATGATAAAAACTACAGTGATGAAATTCGTCTGAATCAACCAGCATGCAATGATTTCAACAGCTTGCCTAAAACATTAAGAGAAAATTTACGGCCATTAAATAGTTTTTCTTCCATCATATTTTTGTATTTTATTTTTTATCGCAACGCTCCGGTCGTTTGAATATTCTACGACCATAAAGTACGCAGCATGGATCGGAAATAAATAATATGACCCCAGCAAGATTTGAACTCGCTTCCTTCATTTCATCAGAAGTTGAGTCTTTATTTCCGATCCATGTTGTATATTTATGGTCGTAGAATGTCAAAACGACCGGAGTGTTGCGACATAAAAGAACAGCAACAACAAAAATGAGATGGAAGTAAAAAATGATTAAAAAATCTATCGTCATGATAAACTAAGAAATTCAAACAAAAATTACAGTTCCACATATTCAGGAATTTATTTGCTAATGTTAAAAGTTTCACGTTTCTAGCCTCTGCCGGTTTGGCAATCTCCAATGACTAAACAATATGAATCTGTATCGAGTATTGTTTTCGTCATTTAGATTTGAAATTTGGGTTGATCATCAGTCTTTATCGGATAAAATAGAAAAAGGAGAAAATATGTATGACAAATTGGAAAAAAAACTTTTCATGTGACACGTTTCGTACCTTAGGACTTCATCAGGATAAGGGACAAAGCGCGTCACACGAAAACTTTTTCCAATTTGTCATACATCTTTCCTCCAAAACTGTCCTTGATATATAAAAATGTATATCGTTATCCCATAAAATAGAATATAAAAGTATTACTTGTTAGCTTAAATAATTTCGTCATAGTCCAGATAAAATACTGATTTTAATGTCGAAACATTAGCCCAACACAATTTTCTTTTCCTTAATCTTCAGCCTTTATATTTGCCCTTTTGTTCAAACTAAGTTATACCTTGGAAATATCTAAACCAGAATAGTAAAATATCATCTTGCAGTTTAGTCGTGTTTGGTACGGGGTCCCAATAATGGAGCACTAATTGAGAATCAAGTAAACTATCCCGAGGCGACAAGTTAATAGAGAAATATAGAGAATTTTCAAACGATCGTATATTTATTTGTGAAGGCAACGTTTACAGTTTAGCGCTGCGAAGAGAAGTTCATGACCTCGACACAAGACGTCCAATAATCACTTGATTACCCTAAGCAAAGTTAAGATGTGATTACAACTTTTGTAAATAACTTAAAAACTTTTGTCACCATAAAACGTCTGGCTTGGTTGTTGCTTCTCTTACTTATTCGCTTCAATTTTTTCTTAGAAATTGAAATGGTATCGGTATTTAAATGATCGAATTATTTCTGACATAGCAAATCCAAAATAGAACCGGAGATTGAAGCCAATTTCTTTTCCAGTATCAATTACTGCGCGCTGTTTAACCTCGGGTCATTGCCAGAGAATAAACCAAAACAGTGAAACTCATACAGAACAAGCGAGATATTTTAAAAGGCACCAAAATGTTTAGGTTTACTAAAATTATTCATCTATTTTAAAAAAATTATTTTGTAAACTTTAATAAACCGCCATTATGTCGCATGACTCTGCATGCTTGATTTTTGAGAAAATGCAACTGAAACTACCGCCAGCTGCAGATTATGGTGAAGATTATGGATTTATTCAGATTTACAAAAATGATTAGCAAACGTTTAAAATAAAAGTATTGGACACCTTTTACGCAATTTGTGAATAAAGCTTTTGGTAGAAAGCAACAAATACCGAACAACAAATGAGATCCGAACTGGTGATTTAGTGGTCCGAAAAACTAGAGCAGAAAACCATTAATTCACAGCGAAAAACTCCAGAACATATGTAAATTTAATTTGAATTTAAAACTTGGTATATTTGTTGCAAGACTCAATTTAAATTTCATGTGAAAAGACTGCACCAAAACGTCATATTGCCCCCGTAACTTGTCAACTGAGAAACAAGAAAATCCTTTTACATAGAAAATGGACTATACCAAGTTGGGTGTTATTTGCGGAGAGCCATTAAAATACGTAGAGTTAGGCACGGAGAAAATGTTTCTAGTTCCGCATGTATAAACGCACGAAAATTAGAGACTTAACATTGATTTTAATTTTCATCAGGTCTGCAGGCAATAGAGTAATGATGTCCTCGTCGCAATACACTGAAAAATATTTTTGTAAATTTAGTTTAAATCATCAACCAATTGGTTAACGTTGTTTCATTCCTGCAAATAATAAAAAAATATCAACCTCGATTTATGTGGATTGAAAGAAGAACGACTACAGAAGACGGTTATCCACGAGGAAGCATCAGTTATGAAAAAGGTAAGTTTCTTCAAATATTTAATTTATATTTACTGGATAGAGATAATCCTTTGCAAGAAGACATGCTTCTTATTCGTGAGTATCATATGTCTTTTGTGACATGTATACTTTCTCCTTTTAAGGGTTGGGCAGTCGGCATGCAAACACATCTTAGAAAATAAAAAGTTCATTTACTTTCTTCCCATTTCTCTCTCTTTCTTTCTTTCTTTTTTAAAGCCGGATACGACCAAAACTAGTAACTCAGCATTAGTATTAGACTGACCAGAAATTATTTTAGTTTTTAAAAACTAGAACATTTATAAGTTGAAGAATAAGGAACTTTCGTTACAGAAACTTGAACTAAGAATAAGAATTTTGGCAAATTTTAAATTGTTTTACATAACAAGGATATGGTTTAGTTTAGCATCCCAAATAATTACAGTAGGTCATGCACGTAAAAACATCATTTACTCTCCGTGAAGTAAGATGCACGGATAAAATTTCTTTACAGGAGTACATTGTCAGCCAAGAAATTCACAGAAGCAAGACAAATGTTTTTGATTTGATTTCAGTGGGAATTCTTTCTTCTTTCGATATAAAGAAGATGGCAATAATTCTAGGCCCAGTATCAATCTTTTAAAATGTTATGAGGGGTGCAGTTACACGTTTTTTCTTTTTTTTTTTTTTACCGCTACAGATTTTATTTTTTCAAAGAATGTTCACACTGTACAAGGTCCAACATAAGCGGTATATAGTTTATGCGGGAATATGAGGGAAGATAACGGTTAGCCCTAGACTTGAACTGATTAACATTGTACTGAACGGGGAAAGCATCCTCTTTGGAGCGGGAAGAAGCTGCTGGAGTGGAACTTACATTTAATCAACGAAATACGAAG